AATACATTTTGGGGCAGGTATTCTGTAATCTGTAATGGAATACATTTTAAAAGTAACCTTCCCAACACTGTAAACTTTAGCATGCTAACTGAGGCCTGTAGAGTCTGAAATGTGGCGCTTGTCTGAATTTGTTGTTTGATCTGAGAAAGGTTGTAAGATTGTGCTAACTCACCCCTCAATGCTCCAGAGGGGTGCATTGATTCTGCTTTAAAATGCAATAGATTCTGCTTTAATGAGATCCTCACACTTGCTGATGATCAGTTGATTAAATGTATTTGATTAGCAGCCCCCTGCTGCTACTTACCTTCCTGTAGAAGCACTAAAGGTGTATTCAGGACTGCATAGTTCTTACTTTAGTGTAGCCACTCTGATGTCACGCACTTGTTACTGAAGTCCTATTTCTTTGAGCCCTCTGCATCATAGCTTTATGAAACCAGACACCATGTGTACAAGGTGGCACAGACTTTTATCAAGTAACCCATACGTTCATAAGGTAGTGGCTAAAGCATACTCTGCTTTTATCATCCTACTTAATGTTACGCTAAGACTTGAAACTAGTGATAAAGACCATAAACTGGAATAACTTTTGCTGAGGCCACTGAAAAACCAAACTGAAAGCTATTTTCTCTTCTTGGAACCAGAGTAGTTACCTCCTAGAAACAATGCAAGTAACATCTTCCATCCTTTATATACAGTCTGTGCTAAGAAAAAACAGTTTTAGCCTTGTGGGTCTGCTGGGGATGCAGTTACAGAAATCCCAAACGCCAGTAGGATTCTTGGGACCATGAATGTTGTATTGTATTTAAATCCATTCAGCAGGTGCTTAGACATGTGAGTTTGACATCTGCTTTCTATAAAATCTGCTTTTTCTTTAGGTTCCGCAGCCTCACCACAGCTTTCTTCCGAGATGCCATGGGCTTCCTGTTGATGTTTGACTTGACCAATCAGCAAAGTTTCCTCAATGTCAGAAACTGGATGAGTATGTTTCCACTGAGCCCCCTGTTCTGCTTCCAATCAATATATTTAGTTTTATGTTGCTGCACAGATAATAATCTCGACTCATTCTGAGTTTCTTCTCATGTATGCTGAGGCTTTACGTGACTTCCTCTGTGTTTCAGGTCAGCTGCAGGCCAACGCGTACTGTGAGAGTCCAGATGTGGTGTTGGTGGGCACCAAGGCAGACGTCAGAGACATGAGAAGTGTTCACGCCAGGCAAGCCAGAGATCTGGCAGACAGATATGGGTAAGGCCTTACAAACACTGTATTAATCATAAAAAATATGTCTGTACCCATAAAGAGACATAATAGTGTACTTTCATACTTGTTTTTTCATTTTTTTCCCTCTGTGCACACATAAATATGGCTGCTGTTTGTTTGTTTATTAATACTGCCATGGTATTAAATTAATAACCAAACTTCATGTGACAACAGTTTACAGTTTTGTGTATGACTTTTATTGATCTTATGTCCTGTTTTATTTTTTTAATATTCAGAAGACTTATTAAGCCTGACGTTCTACCACATTAAATATAAGGTTACTGTAACCTTTTATTGCTATTGTTCTGTGGTAAATTATTATTTTATGAATTGCTTTTACTCATTTTAGCTTCTCCAATTTTAGTAGGTCTCTCAAAAAACTTTCTCTTGGCCTTCATACATTATTACCTGATTCTAGTAACGATGCCAAGTGTACAACATAAAAAAGACATCCAGTGTGTCCTAGATTTCCTACAGATTTATAAATGACAGATGAGAAGGGGATAACTTTTGGACTTTTTGCTGATTTGTGCACAATATCCATTATTATGAATAGATGAAAGTGGTTGCCTGAACTGATGAGTTAATTTGAGCCAGTAGTGTGAATTATCCCAAACGAGACCCCATTTTCCAAGCTGGAGCCCAAAGGGGCTTTTCAGCATGACCTACAAATACAAACTGACAGTGGGATCATTATATTTTTACAGCCTAATTGCTGAGAAAGACATCATCAGCCAAACCAAAACGAATGACACTTTATTAAAATTGTTTGCTATCACTACTCTGGTGCTATCCTTTTAAATTTTACATTTAATATCATTTTATATTTATATAGCTTCATCTGGTAACTGTGACTTAGAAGTTTGTGTTTTCCACAGGTTCATGATGAGTTAATGAATTCAGATTAGAAATTATTTTCTCTTTTCCTTGAAGATGACAGAAATCTAGTTTTAACCCTTAAGAGCCCAGACCTATTTCTACTTTCATGAAAATTACGGGGGTCTTATATCAAATGAATCATATATAACCAAGTCTCTAAGTGTAAAGGGGCAGTGACACCAGTGTCACTGTGGGTCCTTAAGGGTTAATTCTGTTACCATAAGATGGTGCTGGTCAACAGTTTTCCCTGATCTTGGATCTGTAAAAAAAACTTTTACAGCAAAGACTTATTTCGGATTGTAAAACAATAAGCAGTTTTAGATGCTAATCATTTCTAAGATCAGCTAATGTTTTTTTTTTCTTGTACCATATTCTCCTAAGCATCCCGTACTTTGAGACGAGTGCAGTGACGGGTGCTGATGTGGACCTGGCGGTGACCACCCTGCTGAATTTGGTGATGAAGAGGATGGAGCAGAGCACATACGGGGGCCAAGGCTCAGAACCCAATGGCAGCCCCGTCTCCAGCCATGAAGTGGAGGAGGCATCTGGGAGGAAGAGGTGTGCCTGCTGATGTTGCAACCACCAGCTCCTCTTTTCTCTTTTACACCATATATCACTGCATTTTGAGATCCTAAAACCAAGCAAAATATAAGCCCATACTGTACATGAAAGGAGACGAGCTTTGGAAAGTTTCATTTAAAGCGTTATTATTGTTACAGTATAAATTCATCTTCTAGTGTTATTTATTCACACACTTTGTATTGTCAGAAACAACATAAAAGAAAACTGCAAAATGAAACAACTGTATGTCCACTTATAAAAAACTGCAGTACTATGTAAAAGTCTCGAACCCCTTATTTCTTTATATTTTGCATCCAAGGAGCCAAACTTTCTTATTATGTTGGTCTTCACTTTCTGAAGGTCATTCAAAGTTTTTCTTTGGACACTGGCTGTTTTTAACACATTTTCTGAAGAATGTTTATTTAAGCCACTTTAGCCTGACTTATAATCATTCACCGGAAAATATGCAACTCAACAGATGAGCCGGTATTGTGTCTACACATAGGAAACAACTTGGCAAATAACCAGTCAATACCTGTGTCTTTCAAGCTCTTTACGATTGAAAACTCAATTTTTACCTTTTAAACTGCATTTCCATATATGTCTGTTTTTGAAAAACATTCCTGGCCCTTATTCCCATTTTTAAGTAAAGTAGTGGTACAAAGACTTGCACAGCTCTGTGAACAGGTCGAATATTGGCTCTTTTGACATGTTTGTACAAACACACCACAGATAAAGATATGGGTTCAAACAAATGCCCCAGAGTAATTTTTATAATTCAAAAAAATGATTAAAAATATAGATAGATACACGACAGATAGAAAAAGTAAGTACACTGATACATTTATCTTTCTTTAAGTGTAAAATTAGGTGGTTGGGTTGCTAGTGTTTTGAAGAACTTTATGCAGTGATATTTAAACATGTGGTCTGTCTTATTTAAATCTTTGACATCTTGGGTGTGTTGTTCTTTTTGTCATTGAAATGTGCGGTGTGAGTATCTGTAGAACTCTCAGACTTTCTACAGAATCCTGTGAAATCTTTTGAAATAATCATTCCACTGTAAAGTAAATCATATACCAGTGGCAAATATAGTCCCCAAAACTCAGTCGTAGTTGGTGCCAGTGCGTACATGTCTACTCTCCAAAGAGGCTCACAATGCTGATAAAGACAAAAGCCTTCTTTGGGCATACAACATCTAGGAAAGAGAAGACCAAAGGGTGCTTTCCAGAGGAAAGTCATACTAAGTGTGATGCATGATGTTGAAAATTTTCTGGTCTGGGGTTGCTTTGCTGCCTCAGGCAGCTGGTAGTCAATGATTCCACTCAGTCACAGATAATGTGAGGAAAGTTGTCTAAAAGTGGAAGTTAAAATTATCCAAATCCACTAACTGTATATAAAAGATGGACATAGCCTCTGGCTTTGAATGCCAATACAGACTTCCAATTCCAAAAGACTTCCCGTTCCAAAGAAGTTTTGGGGGGGAAAGGCCCTTGGCTCTCAATAAACATTTTCTTGATTAATTTATGGGCTTGTGGCAGTTTCCAGTTATATTAAACACATCCAGAAGTTCATATGTTAAAATGTAATATTTGTAATAAAAGATTTTTGATTTACAAACTGTAAATCCTGTTGTAGTCAGATCCAACACTGGGCTGGTGAGGTGTAGTTTTAAAAAGGTGTGATGGCAATGGTGAAAATACCCAGTGTGGGGCTTCACAAGAGGACTTCACTAGCCACTTACATACAGTCTATGTGTGTCCTAAGCACCACTGCAAATCCACCCAGGAACGGTTGGAGGGTTAATAACAGTGTGAAATAGTCTATGCAATAAAACCTTTGAGCATTTAAGCATCTTGAAATAGAGGAATCTTGCATGGAAGAGTAGTAAAAACGCAAGAAGCTGAAATTCAGGGACAATAAAAATGTCTCTACATGTAAAGTATATGTGACTTTATGTGTAGCCACTATTTCAAGCAGAATAAGATTGTTGTGTGTGTAAATATATTGCAAAGTCAGCAATTTCATTAAGTTTATGTAGTTGTTGTTAGTTTACTTTTTAAAAAAATTATTTTAATCTCCAAATGGGTCATACCAGAGAAAAATACTGTTTATTTGACACGTTGAGGCATTGATGGAAGGTATATGCAGGCACATAATGCATATTTATCATGGAATATAATCAAAAAACATTTACTGTAGGACATGGTTTCTTACTTGGATGATTGCTGTTGATCGAACAACCAGGATAGTACAGTCACTTACATGATTTATGACTTTTATACAACATGTACATAAGCAGCATAATGGAACAAAATCGCCATGCAGATCAAACACAAGTACAGAAATGTTAAAGGGTTGTTAAAGAACAAATCCTGTATAGTGCTCAATTTGGAATAAACACATTTAATGTTTAGGTAATGCACATCACTGTCTGGTCATTTAAACATACTGTAATGCACAAAAAAAAAATATTATTCTGACTGGAATACAATCATCACAGAGTTTCTTGGCATCAGCATATTTTACACACATTCTGCACATTGATTTTTAATGTTACGAGAAATTTTTTTAGAGTAGGAAATGCCCAGCAGTATACCACTGGATATTTCCAACAAATAACTCTGAAGGAGGACATTCATAGCTTTACAAGGAAATTCTACGAATGTAGTTAATTAGGGAAATCTCTGCAAAACAATGGCCATTAGGAAAGTGTCAGCCCTAAAAACCTCAAATGTTTGTGGGGTTACCCTAGTGTTCTGAAGCCAAAGTGCCTCAAACTTGTATTCCTTTTGTATCCAGCAGGGGGCGACTCCCTTGACTGCAAAAAGACTTCCTGTCCTATTACATAGAAATATGGAAAAACACCCTTCGCTCCTTCAGTCTGTGACATTTATAAACATTTTTATCATTACTTAATCAACTCAATAGGTTAGTTTTGTAAGTCATGATCAGGATATTGCAAGTCGTTAGCCAATGAGCATACATGTACTTAGTTTCTCAGCCAGATCCAGCCCTCACTTGCCACAGGCAGTCTCAAAACACCAAGGTGGTCACGGCGAAAACACTTAGCTTGAGGCTTCAAATTCAGACTTTACAAATCAGTGGAGGTGTGCAGGGCTGCCACTTTCATTTTTTATACTGTCTACTGCCATTAGTTGTCATAGAGCTTTCACAAATCAGTTTCCATTATTTCTACTTTAAGCACATGGTCTTTGGTGTACCTACAAAACATTCAGTGAAGGGACTGCTTAAATTATTCTTACACATCTATAACAATCAAAGTCCTAAAATTTGGCTGTCTTTTTACAAGATGTGCAGTTTCATGGTTGTTGCTTTTAATGTCGTGACTGCACTGTGATTTAAAGGTTAGACACACAAGTTAACGATTTGAATTAGTTCGTTTGAACAAGACGAAAGAACAGACACTACATATGGTAAATGTGCATGACTGCATTTCTCTGTGTGTTAAACCTCAGCCTAAGCTGGAATTTGCAACAAGGAGCACATGTTGCAGAGTCATGGGATGGTCATGTGGCCAGCTTTTATTGTTTGGGTCCAGTCTTTCTCAGCCACATATCCACCAGTCTGTTTCAGTCTGGCACGATAAGGTGGACTGTTTAAGACCCCAGGACTATCTACAGTTATAAAAAATAAAGCTTGTTCATTTTTAAGTTGATCTGTAGAAGTTTGGTCCCATGTGGAATACAGCGTTCTTTTTAGCCTTCAAACAGCTCTCATACAAAGACACCAGTGATATTCTTAAGGAATACACCACCAGGAATACAAACAATAGCAAATGACTAAATTTTACCCTTCAAAAAGGTTGTATAAAACTAGCCTAAAAGATCTGTTAGTGCCTCACATGCATTACCACTTAAATATTTCATGCTGTTTGTACAAGATGCAATAAGCCATATAACATTCATTCATTTTATCTTGCATCACGAATATTGAATTTGATACAGTTACGGTAGGAATAAAGAACATTTCTTCAATCAACAAAAGCTGTCTAATAAATAGTGAAGTTCAATCGTCGGCAGGGTATTTTGGACATAGTGGGAAACCTCAAGATCGGTTATTATTTAAAAAAGTTCTATTTCCTGATGTTTTAAGCCACACTTGAGCCATGATTTACATCACAAGGTGGTCCGAGTCTGGTAGCCCCTGGTCAAAAATGATTTTTGACATTTGTTTGTATGGTTAAACCAAGCTTGTGTTTACTAAGTGAGAATTTAAGCATTCTTATTGAAGCATGTTGCATAAATATGTTGTTAGTAAATAATAAATATCATAACCCACTTAGACTGTCTCATGTAACTAGCTAGCTAACATTAGCTCCCTAATGTTTCCATTTAGGCAGGAGAAAAAGAAACAATCTGAATGTGTAAACATAAACTTACAAGATCTGAAATTATATCATGTAAAAGCAAAACTACATTCCACTAAACAGCATTAAGTAGGCTAGCATAATCAACTATGCACAACTCCCTTTAAGCTAACAGTGTGCTAACCACAAAACCGTTCAGATTTGGAAGATATGTTACAGCTCAATAATAAAGTCTTTACTAATGATGATTTGGGGTTTTTCTGTTTGGAAATGACCAACATTTTCACATATTTCCACAAGGTTGCTAGGTCAGTGCTTTCTATTTTGGCCTAGGACACCCTCGCAAAAGCGATTCTTAATCTCAACAGTTCAATTCCTGGTACAGTTAAGGTAGACATACAACTTCCTCACTGAGCATTTTTTTAGCAGTTGGTTGGTTGCTCATGAACACTTCAGGCATTTGGTTGTGTAGGTCAGTGGTCCCCAACCTTTTTTCCGCCGGTTTATGGCCGACAATATTTTCACGCACCAGTCTTTCAGGGGTCGCGGATAAATACAACAAAATAAAACCAGTACTGGTACCAAAAAAAAGGAAGATTTATTCATAACACACAGGAAAAGACCCAGGGAAACCGAGTTAACGATAAAACCGATAACAAACCTGAAAACCATAAATTCCATAAATCACACCCAAGCCTCAACTCTATCGGCCTGGTACCAAACGACTCTGGGACCAGTCCGTGGCCCCGGGGTTGGGAACCGCTGGTGTAATTAACCCTCTGAAGTATTTACCAAGTCCTCATTTATCCACTAAGAAGTCAGCAGGGCTCCTGAACAGGGCTAATTAACCTTGTTTCACTAAAATCTCACT